GCCTCCTTGGTGCCTGCTTTTTTTTTTTTTTTTCCTTACTTTTTCCTAAAATGTTAAGAATTTACTATTTAATGGCCACTCTAAGCTTTTGGAATCAGCACTCTATTTAGACCCCAGAGTAATCTTTGATGATTTTTCATTCCTATTTTATTCCTGAAACTTGGTTTGATGTTAATATAGTTAGAAAACCCCAGTGTACATTCAAATGACAGATCTGACATCAGACTCAATCTTCCTCTTTAGTTATGTGCCAATGTCTTTCCAGAATTTGTTCCTTTCAACCCAGCATAGCTAGCAGTTATAGCTCCCCCTAAAGGATGAGTATTAGAGAGTATTAGAGGTTTTTTTTTTTTTTTTTTTTTTTTTTTTTTTTTTTTTTTTTTAAATAATGAATAAGGGTTGTTGCTTTAACACCTCCTCCTCTGTAGGAATCTAAAATGAGTAAGGCAAGTTAACCATAGTAGAAATTTTTAAGTAGAATGACCTTTTGTGGATTCATTAAAGGGATTGTCCATCTCATATTCCATACAAAGACAGAAGAGACACTGAAGTGTTTATGGGCTGTGCAGTTTTTAGGACTGATTGTTTTCTTTTTTTTTTTTTTCAGATTTTTAAAATTTGAATTAGAAACAAGATTGTTTTACATGACAATTCCAGTTCCCTTCTCCCACCCATCCTCCCCTACCACTCCCCCACCCCAACTAAAACCCTACCTATCATACATCCTTTCTGATCCCCCTGGATGGTGAGGTCTTCCATGGGGGCAGTCATCAGCGTCTATCATATCCCTTGGGATAGGGCCTAGGCCCACCCCCGTGTGTCTCAGGGAGTATTCCTCTATGTGGAATGGGCTCCCAAAGTCCATACCTATGCTAGGGATAAGTACTGAGGTCCTGTAGATCTCCGAGGTTTCCTCACTGAAACCCATGTTCCTGGGGTCTGGATCATTCCCATGCTGGTTTCCCAGCTATCAGTCTGGGGAGCAAGAGTTCCCCTGATGTTCAGGTCAGCTGTTTCTGTGGGTTTCAGGTCTGGACCCCTTTGCTCTTCACTCGTCCTTCTCTGCATCTGGATTCCAGTTCAGTTAAGTGATTAGTTGTGGGTGTCTGCTTCTACTTCCACCAGATGCTGGATGAGGGCTTTCGGGTAGCATATAAGTCAGTCATCAATCTCATTATCAGGGGAGGGCATTTAAGGTAGCCTCTCCTCTGTTGCTTAGATTGTTAGCTGGTGTCATCTTTGTAGATCTGCAGACAGTTCCCTAGTGCCTGATTTCTCTGTAAACCTAAAATGTTTCCCTCTATTATGGTATCTCCATTCTTGTTATCATCTATTCTTCCCCTGACTCAACCTTTCTGCTCCCTCATGTCCTCTGTGTCCCTCCTCTTCTCCCCTTCTCATTCTCCTAGCTCCCTTGCCCCTCTTCTCGTGCACTCAATTTGCTCAGGAGACTGATTGTTTTCTTGCATACTGATGTGACAGCATACATTTAAAGATAATGCTATCTTATTTTTAGGCAATCGGGAGAAGATAGCAAGATGCTGGTGTGTGATACATGTGACAAAGGGTATCATACTTTTTGTCTTCAACCTGTTATGAAATCAGTACCAACCAATGGCTGGAAATGCAAAGTAAGTGGTTTTTTAATTTGTTCTTAAATATCCTCCATATGTATTGGATAGAGAGCAGATAAAACATGTTCAAATATATTTATTATCATTACCTTTATAAAATAGCATATTGATTTTTTTATTTATTATGCATACAACATTCTGCTTCCATGTACGTCTGCACACCAGAAGAGGGCACCAGATCTCATAACGGATGGTTGTGAGCCACCATGTGGTTGCTGGGAAGTGAACTCAGGACCTCTGGAAGAGCAGCCGGTGCTCTTAACCTCTGAGCCATCTCTCCAGCCCCCGCATATTAATTTTTTGATGTATAATTTATATATAGAAACTTTGGCTTTCAAGACAGGATTTGTTTGTGTAGCCCTGGCTGTCTTGGAACTCACTTTATAGACCAAACTGGCCTCAAATTTAAGAGATCTGTCTGCCTTCCTTTGCCTTCTGAATGCTCGAATTAAAGGCTTGTGCCACTACCACCTGGCTAGAACTAGTTTTTTTTTTTTTTTTAAATTTTTTTAAATTTATTTTTTACATTCCTATCCCAGTTCCCCTCCCTCCTCTTCTCCTGCTCCCCCTACTTGCTCCCACCTCCCATCTTTTCCTCAGATAGGGTAAGGCCTCCCATAGGAAGTCTAAGTCTGTCCCATCATTTGGTTGAGGCAGGACCAAGGCACCTCTCCACCCCCTCAAACCCCTGTGTCTCTAATCTGAGCAAGGTATCTCTCCATATACAATGGGCTCCACTAAGTCAGAGTGCGTTAGAGTTAGATCTTGGACCCACTGCCAGTGGCTTCATATATTGCCCCAGTTATACCATTGTTACCTATATTAAGGGAGTCTAGTTTGGTCTTATGCAGGTTCCCCATTTTTCAGGCCTGAGTCAGTGATCTCTCCCTAGCTCGGGTCAGCTGATTCTGTAGGTTTCCCAATCGTGGTCTTGACTCCTTTGTTTATATTATCCCATTTCCCTCAATTTATATTAATGGATATTAATGACCAGTTTTTGCTAGTTCCTGTATATTTTGTTTTTGTTGGTCATGGCATTGTGTGTTCAATTCCTTTCTTTGGGATTTGTAGCTCATCTATTTTCTGTGTTCTTGTGAACATAGGCGGTTTCCTTGGGTTGGCATTTCCTGTAGTACTTTCTGTAGGGCTGGGTTTTTGGATAGGTATTGTTTAAATTCAGTTTTGTCATGGAACATCTTGTTTTCTCCATCTATGGTTTTGGAATCTTTGCTGGGTAGTCTGGGCTGGCATCCGTGGTCCCTTAGTGTCTGCATAACCTCTACCAGGACGTTCTGGCTTTCATTGTTTCTGTTGAGAAGTCAGTTGTAATTCTGAAAGGTTTGCTTTAATATGTTATCTCTCCTTTCTCCTTTGCACCTCCTAATATTAATAATTTATTCTGTATGTTTATTGTTTTGATTATTATGTGGCAAGGTTTTTTTTTGGGGGGTAAGCCTCTTGTATTTTCATAGGCATGTCTTTAGGTTGGGGTAGATTACTTCTTTGATTTTGTTGAATATATTTTCTGTGCCTTTGGGTTGTACTACTTCTCCTTCTTCTATCCCTATTATCCTTAGGGTTGGTCTTTTCATGTTGTCCCAGATTTCCTGCATTGTTTTGTGTTAAAGATTTGTTGGGTTTAAAATTTTCTTTGACCAATTAATCTATTTCCTCTTTTGTATCCTCAATGCTTGAAATTCTGTCTTCCCTTTTTTATATTCTGTTGTGTATTGCTTGTATATCTGCTTGTATTTGTGGTTCCTCATCGTTTACCCAGATTTTCCATTTGCAGAATTTCCTCGGTTTGTGTTTCTTTATTGCTTCTATTTCAGATTTTATGTCTTGAATCGTTTCCTTCACCTGTTTGATTGCTTTTTCTTTTCTTTCTTTTTTTCTTTAAGGGGTTTGTTGATACCCTCTAATTTTTGTTTGTCTTTTCCTCCATCTCTTTAAGGGAATTTTTCATTTCCTCTTTAAGGGCCTCAATCATCCTCATAAAGTTATTTTTTAGGTCATTTTCTTCTACTTCATTTGTGTTGGGATGTTCAGGTCTTGCTGTTATAGCATCACTAGTTACTCCTTATATTGTTGAGTGTTCTTACCTTGTTGACTACCCATCTCTTCCTCTAATCAGTATAGGGGGATCTTGTGCTTCAGGGTCTCTCTTTCTCCAATTGGTATAGTTGGGGGCTGTGGCTCCTTTGGGCATAAGCAGAGCAGAGCAGAGCTTCCTGTTAATGCTCCTCCTGGCGGTAGTGGGCCCAGTGCTCAGGTGGTTGCTCCTTGAGGTGCAGGTGGGGCTAAACCTCCTGTGGAAGCTTTTCCCATTGTAATTGTAGGTGGTTCTGGGAGTCTAGTATCTATCTCCAACCGAGGAATGGCAGTGGTTGCTTGCTGGGAAACAGGCGCTCTTTCCCAGAGGAACTGCTTGCAGTAGTTTCTGGAAGCCACTGCTGGAACCTGCTGCTGTTCTTTCACGTTCCGATCACTGGGCCTGAGGCCTCTGACACTGCTCCCAGGTCTTGGCTCATAGCTCCCTTGACACTGCTCAGGGCCTGAAGCTTGAACCTTCCTTTGCTGATGCTCCTTGGAACTACTTATTTGTAAAGTCTTTAATTTGACACATGCATTCTACCGTTTTCATTATAATCACCATCCCCTTTTTAAACCTGGAAAAAAAAATTCCTGGCACCCTTCCCTGGTTTCCCCAATGCCACTGTGCTTTTCTCTTTATTGATTACTCTTCATGCTTTAGAAGTTTGTAGGAATGCCTTTAAGTAGTTTATATTCTTTGGTAGGGGCAGTATTTTTGACTCAATGTAGTTGTTTTTAGACAGAGACACAGATACTCTATTAGTTCCCCTTTTTTGTTTTTACTGAATCACCTGTTGGCAAACATTTGGGTCATTTATAAACTGGGGCACTTTAAAATATGGTATGTATGATGCTTCATGAAAGAACTTAGTTTTATATTGCTTTTCAGTATTCTCTTTCAGTAGGAGAATTCTTATATGAGGAAACTGAAAACATTTTACAATTTTACAAGTTCAGAGATAAAATATATTGTATTTAGGTTGATTACCACCTACCTTAGGTTTCTACAACTGAAGTAGTTGTACATTCACCTGCTATTTTGTGTTTGCCTGTACACTTGTGGTAAGTACTTTGAATCATGAAGTTTTGAGGTTCTTAACTGTCTCGTGGTAGTTTAAGTGATCATTGACTCTGATATTTGTGTTTTAGATTCTTTGTGTCTCTCTCTGTCTCTGAGATAGAATCTTGTTATGCATAAGCTGTCCTGGAAATCACAGCCTCCTGCATCCTGTTCAGTTCCAAAAAAACAGTCATTAGAACAGATTCTCTTAGTTTGGGATTTAGATCAAGTCTGAATATTTTTGTATTGTTCTAATTGCTTATATACAGTAACTCTCAGATAAAAAAAATCATAAAATATAAGCAATTAGAACCCGAATTTTCAGTTTTATGACTTTATTTGACAGTTTTCATCCTTGTTGACTTTTAACATGGTAATATCTTGATTCTTGAATCCTCATCTCAATAAATTTTCTGGAAAATGCACATGGATACAGTATGGAATGTTTCTTATTCCTTTTGCTCAGATAGTTTTGTTGAACCTGTTGTCAACACTTATATCTGGAGTTTCCGTCTCATTCAGACAAATTCCCAGGTGTAGTTGTTTGAATCCACTCTGTAGATGGGCTTGTGCATGTTGATGGTGTATTTTTGGGTAACCACATTATTGATGATAGAATGACCGTTCTTTTTCTGAGAGAACCACATGTTTTGTGTTGAAGGTGGCGGCATAGGACTTGCTCTCCTTGTCTCTTTTCCTAAGGACACAAATTCATGACTGTGTATTTGGTTATTGTTTTGCCAATAATGATGGTCACTTTAAGCTTTCTCAGGAATTTGTTTTTTTTTTTGTTTGTTTGTTGTTGTTTTTTTCCCATTCATTTATTTAGTTTATAAATAAAGTCACGCACAATTATGATACAGAATACAGTATGTTCACAATGGCATGGCTAAATTAAACCAATTAACATGTTATATCACACATATTCATCATTTTGTTTTGATAACACTTAAATTATACTATCTCACAACTTTTAAAATATAGCATATTGTTATCAACCATATTTATCATGCTCTCAGTAGACCTCAAGACTTCACAGAGTCCATGCCTCTTGTCCAACTGCAGTTTTATATCCTTAAACCAATCGTTTTCCCCATTGTTAAAAGACCCACATTGAAGCCTAATAGCCACAATTCTGCTCTCTGTTCCCATAAGTTCATCATTTCTAGGTTACACATAAAATTGAAATTGTGTGACATTTGTCTTCCAGTGTGTCACTTATTTTTTTTGGCAAGCATATAACTTTACTACTTACTAAAGATGAAATCAAATTTGCATGCACAGGTAGACCAATAATGGCAATATGTTATACATCAATAGCAGCAACAGCCTTTCCAGGTTCTGCAGTCCTTTGAACAAAAAATTTGCATGCACAGGAGATCACTCACTAAAACACCTTGGATTCATCACATATTTGAGTTTCTCTATCTATCTATCTATCTATCTATCTATCTATCTATCTATCTATATGCAATATGTTATACATCAATAGCAGCAACAGCCTTTCCAGGTTCTGCAGTCCTTTGAACAAAATTGTAGAGACATCTAGCACACTACATTAAAAAAACAAAAACAAACTAACAAACAAACGACAACAACAACAAAAAAGTAAAAAAAAACAGAATCCCAGAAAACAGCACAGTTCTGTTACTCTTGTCCTACTTGGCACCATTTTTTTTTTTTTTAAATTAGTTTCTCAGTCATCATCTGGGAGGAAACCATTCTGAGCAACATCATTAAAAACAGCTCTGATAAAGCATGGTCACTACTATGTATCATAAAGCAGGTCCATATATGAGTGAGTACATATCATGTTTGTCTTTTTGTGATTGGGTTACCCCTC